CCGCCACCAAGAAACCTCGAAGAAGAGGCAAAAAGCACCGGAGGGTCCGAGCCGATGAGAACCGGTGAGCCCCCCCCCCCCCAGATCAAAGGGCAGATCAAAGGGCAGATCAAAGGGAAGATCAATGGGCAGATCAAAGGGAACTGCCGAGGTCAGTCCTGGGTCACATGACCCTGGACGGGCCAGCTCCCACTTATTGGTTCTGAGGGGGTCAGATCAGGTCTGCTGGGCCCCAGGGACGCCATCTGGTCGTCATGGATACGGGCTAGCTTCAGGTTCTGCTCCATAATATAACAGAACATATCAAATAAAGTAAAACAAATTAGAAGAGAACAGACAACTTTATTGGTCCCGCAGTGGGGGAAATGTACAGATTACAGCAGAAAAATAAAGGTAATTCACAGTGTAATTAAATAAATACAGATAATTTACAATGTACTGAAAAAATAAAGGTTATTTACAGTGTGATAAAAAGGTCATTTACAATGTAATAGTATAAGCAAAGGTAATTTACAATGTAATAAAATAAAGATTTTCAGAATGTAATAAAATAAAGGTCATTTACAATGTAATAGTATAGGCAAAGGTAATTTACAATGTCATAAAATAAAGGTAATTTACATAGGAAATTTATTAAATATAATTATATGTTTACTAAAATACTGAAATTTGACAATAACCAATGACAAGTTGACTATTGAGGCTAGCATCATGGATCAGGCAGAACTGGTTGAGTGTCTGTTATGTATTACTGTTCAGAGGGGATTTAAGCATGTGTTTGGGTCGGGTTCTGCTCAGCCAAACGTCCTGTGGAACCTCTCCAGCTAAGTGGGCCCATCCATCAGAACCGGCAGGCTTTTAGTTCAGGAGCACCACAGACTCCTCCTCCCGAGGCCCTGGTTCTGATCCGACACCCTGCATGGCTCTGATATCTGCTCCTGTCCAACTTCGCGTTGCTCCGACCCAAAAATGGAACTGTAGACGCACAGCTGTGACCCGTGAGCCGCGACGGAAATAGCCCGAGTGTTACATGACCTGTGCTAAGTGACATCAGGGCTGTGGCTGTCAGGCCCTGTAAGCTAGACCCAAACGGTTCCCACTGGGACCAGGAACACTGGAGCTGACCCACGTGGAACCAGAACTCTAGCTGACCCGGGTTGAACCCGAACTAAACAGACTCTGAGATATTTCTGAACTGTCAACTTTCAGCCTTTACCTACCACCTAAAAGTGGAAAAATTGGACTTTTTCCAAATGTTGCAAACAACATGCTAAAGATCCTGCTAAAAACAAAATGTTAAAACATGCTAACCATGTGCCCAAGAAATGCAAAAAACAACATGCTACAACATGTTAAAAACATTCTAAAGAAAACATGTTGAAAACAATGTGCTAAAAACATGCTACAACAACATGCTAAAATCAACATGCTAAAAACACGAACTAAACAGAAAAATCAAACAGACTGGAGATTTTTCTGAACTGTCAACTTTCAGCCACCTAAAAGTGGAAATATTGGACTTTTTCCAAATGTTGCAAACAGCATGCTAAAGATTCTGCTAAAAACCAAATGTTAAAACATGCTAAAATCACCATGCTAAAATAAACATTCTATAGATCATTCTAAAAACCAGATGCCCAAAAAATGCAAAAAAAAACATGCTACAACATGTTAAAAACATTCTAAAGAAAACATGTTAAAAACAATGTGCTAAAAACATGCTACAACAACATGCTAAAATCCACATGCACATGCTAAAAACACGATGAAAATATGCTAAGATCAACATGCTAAAAACAAAATGCAACAACATGTTAAATATCATGCTAAAAACAATAGGCCAAAAAAGCTAAAATCAACAACAAAAACATGCAAAAAATACTCAACATACTAATAAACATTATGAAAACATGCTAAAACATAATGCCTCTTCCATTAAGAAGAAATATGCTACAAATCTCGAGGGCGTTTTGCATTTCTTGGTCTTCCTGACATTAGAAGTGAGTGATAAAACTCAGGCTAGCTAACACAGTTCCAGGTAAAACACTGTTTTTATAAAAATGACCCCCTTTCGCTTGCTCTTTTCCTTCTTCCTTCCCCTTTTCCTTCACAGTTGCATTTAGCAGTAAAATGGCTGTTATTTCATATTCATATCATATATAGCGTTGGACTTCTTCTGAACACAGTCAGGATGCTAAAACTCAGCCTTATGGTTGCAGATAAAGGGAAAACTGCTTTGCTGCTTTAACTCTATGTCGCTGTGATTTCTCTTCCCGTCTCAGGGCCAACGTGTCATGTGACGCTCAGAATCTGAACGGCGTCAGGCCCCAAACCCCCCCCAGATAGACCAGCCGCCCCCCCCGGCTGCAGCAGAAACCCCCTCATCCCCCACCCAGAGTCCAGCCCTCCACACCAGGTCACCCATCACAGATGCCTTCAGGGGCCTTCAAGCACTTCCACAGCCTCCGGAGGCCTCTCAGGCCCAGAGCCAGCCATCGCCAGCCACATCGGGAAGCCCCGCCCACAATCCCAGGCAGCCATTGCCAGCCACATCGGGAAGCCCCGCCCACAATCCCAGGCAGCCACTTCCAATCGGTGCCCAGAGATCCTCCAGGTCACCCCACAGAACTCTGTCTGCAGAGCTCCAAACGGAGCAGCTTAGCCCCCCTCCAGCCACCCCTAGCAGTGATGAAAACCATGCCAAAGCTCCTCCCACTCCACCGGTTAGCCCCTCCCACTCCCCCACCTTCCCCCTGACCTCGGTGACATTCACCCCCACTGTGTCCTCCCAGCTCTACTCCCCCCTCTGCTCCTCTTCAGCCTCCACTTTGGGCTCTCTGGACCCTCCTGGCAATGCATTTAACTTATTCCCTACTCTGCCATCGGCACCCCTCCCCTCCCAGACTCCACCTCCTGTGGAGTTAACCCCGCCCCCCGTTCAGCTGCTGGGCTCTGATGACGAGGAGCAGGAGGATCCATCGGATTACCGCAAAGGTAATCTGAAAACGTCTAGCTTCCAACAAAATTTCCAGTTTTTCTGTAATTTTGGGCTGAAACAAAACCAGGATTTGTAGAGCTTGTAGCTATACAGCAGGATTACATTAACAAGGTCCATGTATGTTGTCAGGCTGGATGTCAATCAGTTACTTATACTTCATCAGTCCGGTATGCTATCCATAGACTGGTGACATCGGTTCGGTATGCTATCTATGGACCTGTGACA